ACACAGCCTATTCCTAAGGAGAATTCTATCATACCTATACAAGTTTCCCAATGCAAAATCGATGTGGATGTTTAATTTAGGGAATACAATATTACACTTTTAATTATGGGGAAACCCATTCACACTCCAAAATTTTCAAAGCTATACATATCTCTACCGGAAATTCATTTGAGGATAAAGTAGTGCGATCCCAAAATCTTATATAAGGCATAAAGAATAAAAATAAATTTAGTTTTTCATATTTAAAATTTCACCTATCCAAAATTAATAGGTTTTGGTTCACTTGGGCTTTGAACAAAATTGATATCTGCTAACAAAATATGAAAAACTGAAACATTGCTAGTTTTTTAAAGCTTTGGACTTCTCCTTACAGCAGAAGCTAGAAATTTTCAGCAGAAATAAAAAGTGGCGGAGCCAACCTTTATGAAAAAAATGGCACGGAAAACAAATTGAGTGTAGTATGAGAAGACATTTTTCCTACAGGAGAAGTGTTTTTCTCTTTTTTTTTTTTTTTTTTTTTTTTTGGGATAACTGTTTTTCTCTTTTTTAAATAAGAAAAAGCAGGATTTCGTGTGATTTTATCTTCTAATATTTCTGTGTGATTGACAATATCATCAACTATTAATTTTGCATTTCATTATGACATTTAATATAGGAAAATAATTATCTCACGTTGCAACAAAGACAAGATGTAATAGAAACAAGATAGTGAGGTTTATTATTATTTTCTTTTTTTTTATAAAAATAATGAATCTCACTATCTTGTCTATGTTGCATGAGATAATTATTATCTCATACAACATGAGATAAATAAATCCGTTTAATATATATACTAATAAAGAGTAATAATAAGTGCCACATTATAATTATCATAGATTCTCCGTATGAAAATCAAAACACTGATGACATCTAACAAAATTACGCATGTAAGTCTTGTCAAATTATTAGTCTCAGGCCATAAAACATATAATAATACTAGGACAAACTAAAGCTAAAAAGGTAAAGCTAAGCAACCTTCCACCTGGATTCCTTATATTCGATATGTGTAGGATATTTATATTATTAATTATTTTTACTATTAATTTATTATTATTTTAATTATTATTGAATTTCACTTTTTAATTGATAATTTCTGAAAAGATTTTGAAGAGAAAAAAGAAAAGTAATTTTTAATATATTTTCAGAGTATATAATTATATTAAAGTGATAATAAATTGGTAGAAGAAAAAAGTGGTAATATGAATATCATATCTTTATACAATAACATAAACTTGTCTGCCAACCCGATTGAGCCGAAAAAATCTTTCATACTCTCGTTGTAGCTTATAAGCGGTGTTTTAAAACTCCGCCCTACTCCGGGGTTGACCCCTCCAGGTCACTGACTCCCTCTCTCTTAGGGTTTAGGTTAGTAGTTAGACCATACCTGCATGTTGACCCCTCTAACCCCCGAAACCCCCGGTTGAACCCTTGACTCTTGGATCAGAGGGGTCAAGGGGACACTGTATTTTTTTTTTATAAAAAAATTATACACACAATGAGGTCATTTGATGTGTAAAACAAAAAACAAAAACAAAAACTCATTATTGCCTAGATTTAAAACTAGATCTGAAATCTAAATCGTTCTTCTTCTTCTTCTCTTCCGATCTTCTTTTCCTGACTCAGACTCAGTCTTCCTGTTCCGGTGATCTCCTCCACCATGTTGGTTCTTCTTTCCCCACCGTTAATTTATGGTTTTGCCGCCTTTCCTCCGCTATTATCTATTGGGTAAGGGATCTCCTTTTACATACTATTGTAAGTGCATGAGAAGAACAAGAAAGGCCTGAGTTTGATGATATAATTTTTGATTAACTCCATTGGAATATGTGATTTATACTTTAATAGTTTGATTAGCTTGTGAATATTGATTTGTAGATGTAATTTGTTGAATTATGTTAAGTATATTTTGAATCTTTAATGATTGGTGGTTTGATTTTTTTTGAATTTTTCATATAAAATATATATTTATATTTTTTTAATGTATAAAATCGGGTCAGCGAAGTGATCCCGTGACCCTTGACCTCAATCGGATCGATGGCCGCATCGAATTTTTAAACCCTGCTTGTAAGTACATTCATACTGAAAAGAAAAATTTAGGACTTAAAGAGAATTATAAGAAAATAAGAGTTAAAAGAAAAAAAATTAATAAAAAAAAATACCAAGTTTATACTCCCGCTACATTAATGAAATTTGCCATTGAACCAAATCTAATCCAAAACATATCATATCAAAACTGAAAAAAGATATTATCCAAATAAAGAGAGTAATAGTAATAAGATTATAATTATATGATGAAATTATAATACTCCTAATTCTAAACCTGATTAGGTGTTGCTTTTGAAATTAAAAAAAGTGATTAGCCACATTGCAATGCCATGTCTGAGATTTTGGAAATATAAAATTGGTGATCAGACTTCAGAACAATCATTTATGTAACTAATAAGAGACAATTCACTAGCGTTTCCTGCCCTGACCTGATATATGGTTACATGTGTTTAGGATTCATGCCTTCCCGGACACAAACCTCCATCCTCAGTTTATTTTTTTTCCTTGAGTACAATCGAGTGTGAAGACTCATGAAAATTTTAAAAGCTCACGTATACGTACACTTCAAGAGTGATTCTACTTCATTATTTAAATAAAATTATTTTTTTAAACTCATTTTTAAAATATTATTCTTAAATACAGATTAATTTTTAACATCAATTCTTTTTATTTATTTATTTTAAAAAAATTCTAAAGCAAACAAATTGTAAAGTAGTTTCCTGCATGTGAGTGAGGGATTCTATTTCTTTCTATCCGCAATAGTAATATAAAATTTGTAAAATTATTCCTATATCTTTCTTTAATCAATTCGTTGTACAATAGATGTATTAAAAAAAACAATCTACCAACTTTAGAAAAACAAAAGTGATTTTTTTGATCCTTTTAACAAAAAATATAAATATTTTATGATTTAATTTTTTTGACAAATTATTTACTAATACTTTTTTGAAAATATTTCAATCGGTTCATCGTTTCGCAACTAAACTAATTTGGGGCGGGTTCAGGATTAAGGTTTTAAACTCCTCATAAAGGTGGTACTGGGAGGATTCGAACACATGCTCTCTCCCCACCCACCTGCTCAGCTCTCATGCGCCAACTGAGCTACCACCATTTGATAATTATTTACTAATATAACACAAGTAAAAAGCATATAAGAAGTGTATGCCATAGCCTTTATGCATAACTTATAAAAAAAACCGTGCAATGTAAGATGCGTGCGCTTTTAAGTGAGTCGCGCATACACCCTATGCACGTCTTGCAAAATGCAACACGTGACAAGTGCATTTTAATTTTTATATAAATTATATATGGAAATGATTTGTGACTTAAATAAACATATCCCCATACACTTTTTATTCGTATTATATTAATAAATAATTTATTAAAAAAATTAAACAGGTAATATCTCTTGGAATTTAGATTAGAAGAGTCAAAAAGCCAAAAATAAATGTTGAAATAGTAGGTTCTAGTTATAGTGATTAAGTTAATATTCTCATTGTTTGAAATAGCAATAAATATATAAATATGAACGAATATAGCATAGCACCACACAAAATTGTAACCAAAAAAAATTATATAAAGAAGATGATGCTTAATTTTTATTGACTAAACGAAGAAGATACCTAGTATAGCCATGTACTAGCTAGGCATGCAAAAGTAAAATCAGACCATACGCATGGCATCATATTGATTCGCATGTTTGTGCATAATATTAGATTCATTACAACTTACAAATAGAAGGGTAGGGATGATGATGGATCAGACCTCACACTGCATTGAGTGGTATCACAGTACATATAGCAGACAAATAAAGCAGCTGGTTTGTGCATGCAGGTGCAGGGGGGCCAGGTGCAGCGCCTTCAATTTATCTTCAGTCAGAAATCCTGGTATGCCACATGTCACATGACATGTCACAAGACGGTGACACGTTGTCACCCTCCAATTAGAGCCCGACAACGCAGAAAAAAATCATAAGAACTCAAACAGCTTAAAAAGATTTTTCAAGTTATTTTAGAAAGAAATATATTTTTTATATTATATGAGATAAAATTTACTTATATAACACATAAAAAATAGGTAAAATTTATTAAGAAAAATACAAAAAAAAAAATCAAATCTATATATTTTATATGTATAAAATAAAATTATCTCCTATAATATAATGAAGAAGGATATTGTAATAATCAATTAGTGTTACTACCAATATTATTACTAATCAATTTTGTCGTTAGATTGATTATGTTAATCCAACAATTATATTTATTTTCATCTTTATATGGTTATAATTTCCCATATTTATTACTTTATATTTATTTTCACATTTATATGGTTATGATTTTTCATATTTAATGCTTTCACATTAAATATGGAGAATCATACGCTTATAGCCATACAAAGATGGAAATAAATATAACCGTTAGATCGACATAATCAATCAAACGGTGAAATTGATTGGTAGTAACATTGATAATAATACTAATTGATTGTTACAATATTCTACGCCTAATATAATATCTGTTACATATATCCTTATTTAGAAAGGATATTGTAACAACCAATTAGTGTTACTACCAATATTACTACCAATTAATTTCACCGTTAGATCGATTACGTTGATCCAACGATTATATTTATTTTCATCTTTATATGTTTATGATTCCTCATATTTAATACTTTATATTTATTTTCAACTTTGTATGATTATAATTTTTCACTTTCACATTAAATATGGATAATCATAACCATACAAAAATAGAAATAAATATAACTTAATCAACGTAATCAATTGATTGGTAGTAATTGATTATTTCAGTATTGTATTCCTTTATATTAATTAATTAATCAAAGCCCTTGCTTTGTTTGCTAACAATATTTAATCTGTGTCTTCATTGTAAGTCATAATCTTTGGTTTCGTTTGTTTCGTTTTTTTTCTTTCTTCTTGCTCTGATCGTAGTGGTTCATGATGGGGTAACCGATTCCGTTGAAAAGCCCTAGCCTTTTCGTTGTTCAACTTCAATGGCTTCTTCGAATCATAATTACCTCAATTGTTCAACACGCCGCGGCTATTCCAAGTCCCAAATGTGCCTCTTCAAGATTCTGCACATAATTTCATCGATCCCACCGTCGAAAGAAGAGGTTTTTCCGAGTAACAACAAAGGGGTTGGTATTGATTTGAATCTGAGATTCTGTTCCGTTTCGGAGAGTGGAGGAGATTCCGAAGCCGAAGTTGTTCGAGAGAAGAGTGTGGAAGTTTCTAAGGTTTACGACAATGGAGCTGATCATGAAGAATCGGAATTCGAAGAAGATGGAGATGGAAACGGTGGTGTCAAGGAAACGATGTCGTTTCGGGGGAGAGGAGATGATAGTAATTACCTGGATTTGCTTATCGAAGCGGCGAGAGTGTTATCAGCGAAGGACGAGTCGAACTCGGAGGAAGAGAGGGAACTCAGTGGCGAGTTGGGGACTCGGGGAGCGAGTCAAGAGTCCGGGTTATTGGATTTGGAGGAGGAAAGAAGGGTTAAGAAACGAAAGGAGAGGTGGGTGGTTGTGGATTTGTACGGTGATGTGGTTGAGGGAAGAGAACCGGTGGTGAGGTCCAAGAGAGGGAGGAACCAGGCGCTGCCGTACCGGTTCAGAGACTCGGTGGTGGAGCCATTGAAACGCTTGGGTCGTTCCCAGAGACCGTCGTCAACCGTGCAAGCCAGAAAACGACTCCTTCGGACGTCGCCTACAACGTAAAACGGTAATGCTTATTCATATTTATTTTATTTTTAGCATTTAAAGCTTACTAATGTATGTAGTTGAGTCTTTATCAACTTTGTCCGAAAAAAAAAAAAAAAAAGTCACCAACCAAAACGACATATCGTCTGAGCTAAGGTATTGTTACAAATAGAGGTGGCAAAGTGGGCGGCCCGCCCCGCCCATCAACCCGCCAAAAAATGAGTCAGCCCGGCCCGCCCCACTTTTGAAAGTGGGCTGAAAAACTCAGTCCGCCCTGCCCCGTTTGGCGGGTTGGTCCGCCAGCCCGAGCCTATTTTACACTGACCCGCCTTGGCCCACCTATGCCCGCCATTAACCCGCCAAAAAATGAGTCTGCCCCGCCCCACCCCGCTTTTGGGATGAGTTGAAAAATTCAGCCCGCCCCGCTCCGTTTAGCGGGTTAAATGGGTTGACCCGCCGAGCCAAGCCCGTTTTACCGGCTCTACTTACAACTACAGCCTTACAGAGACAGGTTTCGGGATTTTTTTTTTCTCATTTTGAATATTTTTAATTTCGCTTTGTATAAGGTTTTGGAACTATTAATTAAAGGTTTAAAATTTCTAAAGTTATTTTAAATAATTTTATTTATATTAATCAAAATACACACACAAAAATGTGTTAAGTTTCATATAAACTCATGTGAAAGGAAACGAAAAAAAAAATATGAGCGGTATATATTTTTATGTGTATATTTTAATAAATATTAAATAAAATTATCTAAAGTAATTTTATAAACTTCAAATTCATTAATTAAATAATGGCTGAAGTAGCTTTACTTGGAACTATCTATTTCGTGATGGTTTTCTTACATTAGATGATATTATCATATTATAAGTAAAACAAACAAAGATAAATTTAGTGAATTATATGTAAATTGATTGTAGATGCTTTTATAATTGCTTTTGTATCTTTATTTCTTATATGGGGGAATTCTCATCCTAGTAGTATATCTAATTCTGAGAGGATTCAATTTTTCTACTAACGTACGGTTCTTTTCACAGTCTCTTTCTCTTGAAGCGTAAGTGATATTGCTGAACTCACGCGTGATCATCTCCTCCTTCCTCCCAAACCTCGTTTGAAGTCATCACCCAAGTCATTTTATTGGGAGAGACAACAAACAAGGATTAAGTGGCTACGAAAATGCATTTGTTTAGAGTTTTATTTCGTCAAAGGTTACTTTCATTTACCTGATCAGCAAGGGCAATTTTGCTTGTTAGCTTCAAACTTCCCAATATGCAGAAGGTTTTTTTTTTTTAGAAGGTACTGCTCCTCAATATGCTATAACTTTTTTTGGTTGTGAGCGGTCAGTGTCATAGTTTAGGGAATTCAATGGCGTAGTCCTCCATGTGACGGAAGAATGGTGTTATGATTTCTTTCTTTGAAAAGCGGGTGGTGGTTTTAGATGGGGTTTGGGGCGAAGGAAATTATCACGTGAAACCGTTAGTAGAGCGTCATCACTAAACACTCCAAATTCCAAAAGATGTACATATAAGTGAAATTTACCAGCCTCAATTTAGATTTTGGACGGAACGCCAATGATAAAAGATCACATTGCGTAGTTTAATTTTTTTTTATGAATTTGCATATTTTTAAAGTTTTAACATCGAAATTTTTTTAACTCCCAAAACAATAAATTTATGTTTATGCTACCCTCAAATTGGAAACAAAAGCAACTTAAATTCTCTCTGAAATAGCTTCATTGCTGCTGCTTTTTTTTTTTTTTTTTTTAACTAGCAAGCACAAAAACGATAAGCAATAATGATGTAAGTTGTTAATGATGTCAATGCTTACAGTAAAGGAGTCAATAGCACGTAGTCGTTATAAACACACTTGTATTCAAAGGACTACGAACATTTTGATATCATTCACCTAAAAAAATGTGGAGTTACGACACTATCATATCTAAAATGTTATTTTTTTTTAATTAAGGATAAAAATAATGCAACAAGTATGTATTTTAATTCATCGTCAACATACAATTATTTGATTTGTGAATAAACAAAGAGTTTTTTTTTTGAAAATATTCCAATCGATTCATTGCTTCGCAACTAATTCGATTTTGGACGGGTCCAGGATTAAGACTTTAAACTCCTTTCAATTCAAATGTAGTACTGAGAAGATTTGAACACATGCTCTCACCCCAGAATAAACATAGAGTTGCGCAGATTAATCACTGCATAGTTTTTTTCTTCGCGGTTTTAAATTAGTATATGTTAAACGACGGAAAAGTATCTCGTGAAAACATGGAAAAGTAATTTTCTTCCTACTTTAATCTTCTTCTCTCTTTTTTTGGTACATTACTTTATTCTTCTTAACCTATAACTCAAGTAGTTACAGTATGCAATGATTCTTGTTAGGAACGTGATATACTCAGGGTGAATTAGTATATGTTAGCTGAGGTGTCGCATTCTCCTTAAATCTCAGCTTTCTGTTCACACTAGAGGATGTCTTGAAAACTTACTTCTTTTCCATGTAGTGAACAAAATATGTATGTTTGAATTTCTGTTCACACTAGAGGATTCTTTCCGTTTTAATGTAAAAAAAACTTTTGAAAATTAGCTGAGGTGTCACATTCTCCTTAAATCTCAGCTTTCTGTTCACACTAGAGGATGTCTTGAAAACTTACTTCTTTTCGATATAGTGAACAAAATATGTATGTTTGAATTTCTGTTCACACTAGAGGATTCTTTCCGTTTTAATGTAAAAAAAACTTTTGAAAATTAGCTGAGGTGTCGCATTCTCCTTAAATCTCAGCTTTCTGTTCACACTAGATGATGTTTTGAAAACTTACTTCTTTTCGATATAGTGAACAAAATATGTATGTTTGAATTTCTGTTCACACTAGAGAATTCTTTCCGTTTTAATGTAAAAATAGCTGAATCATTAAAACAGGTGAGTGATTTCATTTCAAAATTCAAAATTTTAAATCAGCTGACTCATTAGGTATTTTTGGGAGTTAATTAAGATCATAATGAATAAAATGTTTTGAAATTTTTTATGTATTCATTGCATGTATAAAGACGATATTTGGTGTTATAAAAAAAAAAAGAAAAAAAAGACGATATTTGGTGTTGCTTTTGCCTTTTGGTCTGCATCATTGCCACGAGCATTTTGTATCTTCTTTGGTCCATTTCTCTACTCCTCCAATGTATTCAATGTCCTCAAAATACGACTTCGTAAAGGATCTTAATCCGACGAAAGAAGAGTGGAGGATTAAAGTGCGTGTAGTTAGGTGTTGGAAGGTTCCCAGTTTTAATCAAAAAGATTTTGATGACAATGTGGATATGGTTTTGGTCAACGAACCGGTAATGTATTTTTTTCTTTTTTTCAATGTTTTTATCTTTTCAGTAGCTCAATGTCGGTTTTTTTTTTTTTTTTTTGCTTTGTTGCGTGTTTTCAATGTTATCTATATTTCTGATAGTATTGTAATGTAATTTCTTATGTGTTTTTGAATTTAAAGAGAATGGGATTTTTTTTTTTTTTTGATAACAAGAGAATGGGATTTTACATAATTTCTTATGTGTCTTTTGTTTCTATATCATGATAGGGGTCAGAAACTTGAATGCACTTCGTGGGAGTCATACGTAGACGACGTCCAAACTTTCTTAGCAAAGAATCAGAGTGCTCAAAATGTTATAATACTTCAGCTTGCAAGGATAAAGGGTTTTAGGGGTACTTTTTTTTGTGACTAAAATTCTCATTTTTTATTTTTTTGTTTTGCTGTTTTACTTTTTCTTTTATTTACGTAGCATTTTTTTCAGGAAAGATTGGAATAGCTAATACAAAGTATACGACGAAAATTCTTTTTGATTCCAATATACCTGAGATCGTAGAGTTCAAAAAAAGGTGGGCTACCGTGAGAAATTATGAATTTCTTTTAATATTTTGTTATCAGCTTTAGTACGACGTGTGAATTTCTTTAGTACGACGTGTTTCAGTTTTAGGGATGTCATTCGAAATTCCCCATTATACCAATTGTTAACAATTAATTTCATTATTAGTAATTGCTTGACGTTTCGTTTGAAGTTATTTTTAATGCTCCCCTGAATTTTGAATTAGTGTGTTGGACTTTTAAATTTTTAAACAAATTAATAAATGCCAATAAAAGCGGTAGATTGGTCGATTTTTTGTAACGAGGAGCTATTGCAATTTTCCTTATTCTGTGGCCTATTATCATGTTTTGAACTTTGACAGTGTACCAAGGCCTTACTATTTGTTTTTTAATATTTTGATATCAACTTCGCTTCTTCATTTTTACCAAAGTTTGCAAAAAAAAACTTAAAAGTAATTGAATAAAAAATTAATTTATAATATTTAAAATATTTAATAATTTCAATGTAAAAACAGCTTAAACATTAAAACAGGTGAGTGTCAGCTGACTCATTAGATGAGATGACCACTTCCAATGTGAAGGTAAGTGGCACATTAAATTCTTTGTCTGCCACCACATTTGTTTTAAATTATTAGAAATTAAAATTTATTTTTGATTTTTAAAAGAAAAATTGAAAAAATTAATTGAATAAAAAATTAATTGTCCGTTTTTTTGTATTTTAAAATATTTAATAATTCCAATGTAAAAATAGTTGAGTCATTAAAACAGGTGAGTGATTCTATTTTAAAATTCAAAATTTTAAATCAGCTGACTCGTTAGATGAGATGACCAATTCCAATGTGAAGGTAAGTGGCGCATTATATGTTTTGTCTGTCACCTCATTTGTTTTAAATTATTAGAAATTTTAAATCAGCTGACTCATTAAATGAGATAACCAATTCCAATGTGAAGGTATGCGGCGCATTAAATGATTTATCTGCCACCACATTTGTTTTAAATTATTAGAAATTAAAAATGATTTTCGATTTTTAAAAGAAAAATTGAAAAAATTAATTGAATAAAAAATTAATTTTCCGTTTTTTTTTTCGTATTTTAAAATATTCAAAATATTTAATAATTTCAAAGTAAAAATAGCTGAGTCATTAAAATAGGTGAGTGATTATATTTCAAAATTCAAAATTTTAAATCAGCTCACTCATTAAATGAGATGACCAATTTCAATGTGAAGGTAAGTGGCGCATTAAATGCTTTGTCTACCACCACATTTGTTTTAAATTATTAGAAATTAAATTTGAATTTTGATTTTTAAAAGAAAAATAAAAAAAATTAATTGAATACAAAATTAATTTTCTGTTTTTTTTCGTATTTTAAAATATCTAAAATATTTAATAATTCCAATGTAAAAACAACTGAGTCATTAAAACAGGTGAGTCATTCCATTTCAAAATTCAAAATTTTACACCACAACTTAATTGAATAAAAAAATAATTTTCCGTTTTTTTTGTATTTTAAATATTTAATAATTTCAATGTAAAAATAGCTGAATCTTTAAAACAGGTGAGTGATTCCATTTCAAAATTCAGAATTTTAAATCAGCTGACTCATTAGATGAGATGACCAATTCTAATATGAAGGTAAGTGGCGCATTAAACGTTTCGTTTGAAGTTATTTTTAATGCTCCCTTGAATTTCGAATTAGTGTGTTGGACTTTTAAATTTTTAAACAAATTAATAAATGCCAATAAAAGCGGTAGATTGGTCGATTTTTTGTAACGAGGAGCTATTGACATTTTCCTTATTCTGTGGCCTATTATCATGTTTTGGACTTTAACAGTGTACCAAGGCCTTACTATTTGCTTTTTAATATTTTGATATCAACTTCGCTTCTTCATTTTTACCAAAGTTTGCAAAAAAAAACTTAAAAGTAATTGAAGAAAATTTAATTTATAATATTTAAAATATTTAATAATTCCAATGTAAAAACAGCTTAAACATTAAAACAGGTGAGTGTCAGCTGACTCATTAGATGAGATGACCAATTCCAATGTGAAGGTAAGTGACACATTAAATGCTTTGTCTGCCACCACATTTCTTTTAAATTATTAGAAATTAAAATTGAATTTCGATTTTTAAAAGAAAAATCGAAAAAATTAATTGAATAAAAAATTAATTTTCCGTTTTTTCGTATTTTAAAATATCTAAAATATTTAATAATTACAATGTAAAAACAGCTGAGTCTTTAAAACATATGAGTCTTTCCATTTCAAAATTCAAAATTTTACACCACAATTTAATTGAATAAAAAATTAATTTTCAGTTTTTTTCGTATTTTAAAATATTTAAAATATTTAATAATTTCAATGTAAAAATAGCTGAATCATTAAAACAGGTGAGTGATTCCATTTCAAAATTCAAAATTTTAAATCAGCTGACTCATTAGATGAGATGACCAATTCCAATGTGAAGGTAAGTGGCGCATTAAACGTTTCGTTTGAAGTTATTTTTAATGCTCCCCTGAATTTCGAATTAGTGTGTTGGACTTTTAAATTATTAAACAAATTAATAAATGCCAATAAAAGCGGTAGATTGGTCGATTTTTTGTAACGAGGAGCTATTGACATTTTCCTTATTCTGTGGCTTATTATCATGTGTTGAACTTTGACAGTGTACCAAGGCC